AACTTGTGGAAAGAGACAGTTCAGATATTTGCTTCTAATATCACAGGGTTCCTTCTTTAGTTTTTATAAAGTGTTGAAAAATAGAATGGCTTGTTTTCACATATTTTCTGATTGGGTAGTAACTTCCACTGGCCCCAAATAGGGAATTTGGAACTACTTTATTATTTTTCAAGATTGTTTTGGCTATTTGGAGCCCCTTGCAATTCCATATAAGTTGAAAGATTGACTTTTCAATTTTTGTGTAAAAGGCTGTTGGAATTTTGATAGGAATTGCATTCAATCTATAGATTACTTTGAGTAGTATTGCCATCTTAATAACATTAAGTCTTCCTATCCATGAGCAGGTGATGTCTTTCTATTTTTAATGTCTTCTTTAGTTTATTTCAGGAGTTTTTTGTAGTTTTCAGCATGCAAGCCTTTCAACTTCCTTGGTTAGATTTATTTCTAAGTATCTAAGTCTTTTAGTTGCTATTGTAAATAGAATTACTTTCTTGGTTTTCAGACTGTAACTGGTAGTGAACAGAAACACAGCTTATTTTATTTGTTGATCTTTTACTCTGCAACTTTGCTGAATTATTTTACTAGTTCTGGTATCTTTCTTGTAGGTTTATTGAGTTTTCTATAAATCAGATCATGTCATTTGCAAATCAGTATAGTTTTGCCTCTTCCTTTCCAATTTGGATGACTTTTAGTTTCTTTTCTTATCTGGTAGCTCTGTCTAGAACTTCCAGTACAATGTTAACCACTAGCATTAAAAGTAGGATCTTTGTCTTGTCCCTGATTTATTCATGTTTTATTTGCAACACCTCACTGGTATAATGCATTAATGCTAATATTGTTTGGGGTGTGTCTTAATCTGCTGTAAAAAAACAAAAACAAAAACAAATGATAGACTGAATAGCTGAAGCAATAAACATATTTCTCATAGTTTTGGAGTCAAGAAAATCCAAGATCATGGTTCAGGAGATTTGCTGTTTGGCAAGGGCCTGCTTCCTGGCTCATAGAGAGCCATCTCCTTACTGTGTCCTCACATGGCAGAAGGGGCAAAGGAACTGTTTGAGGTCTCATTTACAAGGACACCATCCCACTCATGAGAGGGCTTCATTCTCATGACCCGATCAACTTCCCAGAGCTCACTTCCTAACACAGCCACTTCCTAACACACTTCACAACACACTTGATCATTAAGTTTTCAACATCTGCATTTTGGGGGAACACAAACATTCAGTCCATAATAGGATTTAAGGAAATATTTGTGTGCACATACCATTAAGAGATCGAGATTCAGGGACGCCTGGGTGGCTCAGCAGTTGAGTGTCTGCCTTTGGCCCACGGCCTGATCCTGGAGTCCTGGGATGAAGTCCCATATCGGTCTCCCTGCATGGAGCCTGCTTCACCCTCTGCCTGTGTCTCTGCCTCTCTCTGTGTGTCTCTCATGAATAAATAAAAAATCTTAAAAAAATAAAAAAGGAGATCGAGATTCATGCCCACTATGTAAATTCAGTCTGGTGTTTCTAGGACTATGGAATAAGTCTATACTTTTTTTTAAGATTTTATTTATTTATTCATGACGCACACACACACGGAGAGAGAGAGAGAGAGAGAGAGAGAGAGAGAGAGAGAGCAGGCAGGCTCCATGCAGGAAACCTGATGTGGGACTCGATCCTGGGTCTCCAGGATCACACCCTGAGCTGAAGGTGGTGCTAAACTGCTGAGCCACCAGGGATCCCCAAGTCTATACTTCTTTTTAGGAGGGTGTAAAGAAAGGGAAAGTGATCAACTTACCTGTGAGAGATCACAACAAACAACCTGGAAGTGACTGAGCTAGAAATTAAAAGTAGGAAAAGTATTTGATAAGCAGGTAGGATCAGAGAACTTGAGGAGCTCATTCTAGGAAAAGAAATATGATGAAAGCTCTAGAGGGCTTATATGGCTTTTTGCTATAGGATAACTTCCAGCCATTGAAGCTGGCCTGGATTGTAAGGTCAAAGGAGAGACTCTGTGAAGATGACTAGAAACATACAATGCACTACTGAGAAATGTGAATTTTATCTTGGAGGGAATGGGAAAAAAATAAAGATGCTTGAGATGGTCTGATTTGGACAGAACTGAGGCTTGGGAAGGGCATCCAAGGCTCCACAGGTATCAGTTGACTGAAAATGGTATCATGTGATGGAAACCTGTGGGGAAACTGAGCGCATTTTGTTCTGAACTGAGTGCACAGTGTTTTCTTTCTTTCTTTCTTTCTTTCTTTCTTTCTTTCTTTCTTTCTTTCTTTCTTTCTTTCTTTCTTCTTTTTTAAAGATTTTATTAATTTATTCTTGAGACACACAAAAAGAGGCAGAGACATAGGCAGAGGCTCCTCCTCCTCCCGGTGCAGGAGCCTGATGTGAAACTCTATCCCAGGGATCACGACCTGAGCCAAAGGCAGCTGCTCAACCACTGAACCATCCAGGTGTCCCTGCATGGTGTTTTCTAACTTCACAAGCCAAAGGCCCAAAACTGCCAAACCAAACTATGACGTGAATATAAGTCTTACCTTTCTTTCATGTAGTGAGTCAAACAAAATAAAGGTTAAAGACAGACTTAAAGCGGTGCTGTTGACAGCTCTATAAAGTAGAAAAAGACCCACAGCCATTGAGTCTGGGAGAAGATGCTACCAGTTTTATTCCTTCATGTCATGCATCTGATCTGTTTTCCTTCCATGCTTAACAATGATGACCCAAAGGACATGGAAAATTGTGAAAGTTGGAGATCTTCAGAAACCAAGGCCCGTACCTCTAGAACTACAACATGGGACAAATTTTGAGGATATTTTCTCTGTCTGTACCCCTCTCTCTAGCTCTTCAGATGTTTTAACCTTTGACTCCAGTCAGAGATCTAAAGTCCCCCTGTAGCCTCACTACATAGACCTGGATCTTTTTTGAAATATTCCATACTCTAAAGTTGCCTCTTTTCTTTGATCCCGGCAATAATGTTGATAATAATACTAAGAATGACAACTGCAACAGGGAATGTTTCATGTTTGCTTACCATGTGTTAGGCAAATTGCTATGATCTGATTAAAGAAATTCAGTCATTATATCAGATACTTCTGCTTATCTTTCCAAATATGAAAAAAAAACCATGTCAGACACATGGTATCTGGCTTTTGAAAGGTTCCAGATACCTTCTCTAAGCTTCTTCGTATATGTTACCTTGACTATTTCTCCTAAAAACTTCTGATTAGGGCCTTCATCTTTACACAGCTGCAGCCTGATAACGTTATTTCTCTTTCTTCCCCATCCCTTTCCCCTTTCTGTGTGTGTGTGTGTGTGTGTGTGTGTGTGAGAAAGAGAGAGAGAGAGAGAGAGAGAGAGAGAGAGAGAGAGAGGTATAGTGTGAGGGCAGAAACTTTGTTAACCTTAACTCTATTTTTCTCTCAGTCTTTGTCATCAATGACCACTCTAGATTTTAGTATTCAAACTTCATTGTTGCTGGTGGATTTGAGATTTTCCCCTTCCTAATATCCTTAGGCATTAATTAATCAATCAACTTGGTTATCCATTAATTTAATCAAAATATGTATTTAGCACCTCTACCTGCAAAGCACTGAGCACTTACAGGTTGCAAAGACAAAAAAAAAAAAAAGTATGATCACTTACAGTCTACTCGGAAATGCAGGCACACAAATTAAATTCAACTTGATACAAGAGTTATATAATTAGGGTAAGTCTATTAATATTAGTTTATCCAGGACAGTTTGAGTTTATGTACGTTATTAATAGTTTCTCTTTCACTTGTAATAGTGTTGCAGGTTGAATAGTAAATAGTATTACTAAGCTATGCCCAGAGGATTCAGGGAAGACTTCAATGTAAGTGAATAAAGATGAAAAATTTATTTTTTATTATTTTTTAATTATTTTTTAATTTTTATTTATTTCTGATAGTCACACACACACAGACAGAGAGAGAGAGAGAGGCAGAGACACAGGCAGAGGGAGAAGCAGGCTCCACTCAGGGAGCCCGACGTGGGATTCGATCCCGGGTCTCCAGGATCGTGCCCTGAGCCAAAGGCAGGCGCCAAACTGCTGCGCCACCCAGGGATCCCTTTTTTATTATTTTTTAAATAAAATTTTTAATAGAGAAATTTAGGATAGACTTTGGAGTTAATACTTATGCTTTCAAGAGGCCCAATATATACTAATATTAGACCCCTGATTATTCTTCTACTAAAAATCACTTTCTTTAAGTACCAATCTTTGGTAATGAGTTTGGGAATTGCAGGTTTATTGATTTGTGGCTATTCTTTTATTTCCTAAGTCCTGACATAATGGACAAAAAATATCCAATTACTTGCATCTCTAAAGAATGTCAAAATGATCAGCTTTGTGGGTAGGGTCTCTCTCTGGTTGCAGCAAGCAGAAGTCCAATATCTGCACTCGATATTGCCTGCTACACTAGGCTACTTGGTCTAGATTGATTTTAAAAATTTACCACCATAAGAACAAAGTCACTGAACAATCATTTAAAAAAAGAAAAAAGAAGTGTTTCCTAGATGTTTATACTGAGCTTTGTGTTACCTAAGACTATACAGTTCCAACCTGATGAACAATGGCATATGGACATGCCTTCACATGACTTATCTTTTGGCTCAAATTTCGATCTACCATAGCACACAGGGTCTATTGATGTGGTAATCCATGCTAGTTGAACAAACCTGAACTTTGACTAAGTGTTCACTAATTTTTTTTTAAAGCCTCTTCCTACAAAATGATGCAACCATTCACAAAATTTCACTTTATGGTGTATTAAGAGCTCTCATATAGGTTCTGATTTCACAACTAAGTTGCTTGATAATGATGACGTTATGGCAGGATGAAGAAACACCGTGGGAGTTGTTAATTGTTTGGTAACAAAATAAGCACAGACTACTATAATACAATATCTGTCTCAGAATCTGTTTATTTCAAAAACAAGTCACCACTGATGCAATAACTTTCGAGTTAAAAATACATGCTGTTGAGGTGATCACATATACCCAAAGGGGTTTCCAATCTATCTCAGCATTGTCAGGAGATTGGAGAAAGGACTAGCATGGGATTCAAAGCTCTCTGTTTGGGGGTATTTTGTGCTCTCTTTGCCTCTCATTTGTATATCTCCCTACCAGATGACATTGAAGAGTACTGGAAAGTAGTGGCCTTAGCTACAATTGCTAAAACCTTCACATTTACGGTAAGATTAACATTTTTTTTTCTTTCTGGATATTGTAATGCCCTGTTGACTAAAAATCTGTGCTTGTGAACTTTTTAGTAATTGCTGTTTTTTAAATAACCATCGCTTCTTTGTTAGAAGACATCAATTACATAAATTTAAACAAAACTTGCTACATCTACATCCGAGCAAACAGAGATAGAATTCTTGCTTCTGAGGAGTTTATATCTAACTGTAAAGATTGTGTATATTGTGTTATGCGTAAGTAGTATTGTTAAAGGGAAAAGCTTTGAAGTTTACTTGATAACTTGTGTTTGAGTTATATTTGACACATTTGAGATTCTGGTGGTTTTACTTATATATATTATACTGATAAATAGTATAGGTGTTTGTAGATACCTGATGTTAATTTAGGGCTCTATTTCAATGTTTCCATTGCCTATTTTTAATTCTAAATTGCTAGGTTTCAGAGATTGTCTGACTTGAAATATATGAGGTTGATTATGAATTTGAGCCAAAATAGTTCCTTGGTAAAGGAGAGATATGGTTAGAAGCTAGCATTTTTGAGTTTTTAGAATATATAGGGTTTCTATAATATATACCTCTGTGCATCCCCCATCCCATCTTCTGATTATTTATACCCATTCACGGAGGAAGAAAAAGTTCAGAGGAGCTCCTGCAGCTAGAAAGGGACACCTTCAGAATTTGAACCCACAAAAGCCTCATTTCAAAGCTCACACTCTTTCTGCAGAACGAAAAGGCTCCCAAAAAGGTTCTTTGATGACAGAAACAATAAGAAGCTGAAAGGAGAACCTAGCAGCAGTGAATGATTAGAGAAGAGAGAGCCATCGATGATAACAGAGGGAGAAGCCATCCCCTGGTACTTCCTATAGCAGACAAGCAGATCTATGAAAACATGGCCAGCTCCTGCCTGTGTCTGCTAAGCCCTGATATGTACCTCTCCGATCACTTGTAGCAGCACAGAACTTTGCCATAACCGTCTCTTCCTCCAATGCTCTTCCCCCTGGACTTAATGTAACATGAAAGTAGGTGTGGGTAAGCAAGTAACAGCTCCATAAAGGCTTTTCCTTTTTCAGCTACAGATTCTTCTCACCATTTCCCATCTACAATAAAATTAAGCACTTTAAAGATTTTATATTGTATATGGGTGGTTCTTTATTTTTTCATAAGATACCAAGAAAATCATCCGTGTATTTAAAGACCATTCTAGTAAAATTAACAGTCATTGGCTGTTCTAGAGAAAAGAGTTCTGTTCTTCTCAGTATCGAATTTCATAAATCAAAGTTGGGATACCAGGAAGAAAAATGAATTCTTTAATGTGTAAAAGGGAAGTGAAAATTAAAGTTTTTGAGAAAGTAACCTTGATAAATAAAATGCATTGCTATGTCCCTCATATGCTAAATTGGAAGGCTGAGTTTGGTTGAAGAAAGCATGTCCAACCTTGAAAAACTTCCTTTTTTATTATTATTTTTATTTTTTATTTTTATTTTTTTAAACTTCCTTTTTAAAATACACTTATAAAATGGGGATACTGGGCAACCCTGGTGGCGAGCAGTTTGGCGCTGCCTGCAGCCTGGAGTGTGATCCTGGAGACCCGGGATGGAGTCACACATCGGGCTCCCTGCATGGAGCCTGCTTCTCCCTCTGCCTGTGTCTCTGCCTCTCTGTGTCTTTCATGAATAAATAAATAAAATCTTAAAAAAAATAATTTTTATTAGTGAAGAATACTTAAGTAAGACACACTTATTGAATGCACACATGTGCTAGGCCCTCCTCTGTGTACATTAATTCACTTAAATCCTACAACCCACTGAGGAATTTGTTGTTGTTATTTTTATTATTGTAGAGATTAGAAAAATTGAAGTAGAGAGCAATTTGCTCCCCGTTGTATAGTCAGTAAGTGATAGTCTAAGAGGCTGGTCTAGAAAAATGGGTGCAGATTTGGCTTTGACATTTCTTGGCTGCAATTTAAGAGCTTCTGTATACTTTCTCATCACCAAAGTATAGGCATTAGGTGTTCTCTGAGACCCTGTCATACCTTAAACTCTGGGAAATAATTGTAGGAATAAAGGCTCTTTAATGCACTATTTATTGACCATGTAATTGTTAAGGTTCTTCTTTTGAATAAACTGTCCATTGACACATCACAAAGATCCTAGAAAAGCTGTCAGAAATACCGGAAGAGCTTTCTTCAGTGATCTCAAATATGAGATTTGAGGGACAGGGAGTGGGGGTAAAGGACACAAATCTATTTGGAGTTGAAAACCAGGGCATTTAAATAATTAGTAGTGTGGTCATAAGACAACATTTAAAATTTCAGATTAAACAAAATGAACCATAAAGAAGAAAAATGCAACAGCATGCCTACAAAACAAAAAGAAAAGAAAAGGTGGTACAAGACCTGGACATTTTTCAGACAAGAATTTTTACAATTAGGATATCATTACAACTGGCATTAAAAAAAATGCCAGTAAACTGAAAGCTTTTGAATGACCAGTTACTAATCTAAAATATAGAATATGTGGGATTTTCAACAGGGTTATGGAATAAGATCCATGCAGTATTATTTGGAAATAATTGTTACATTCTATTTGCTTATTTTTTTTGTTTCTTTTCTCTTTTCTCTTCACGTGCTTTTGATGTTACTTAAGGATGAAAATGTTCAATGTTGTTTTGCTTTACAGGGTATGTGTATTGAACGTATGGGTATTATAAAATATGAAGAGCTTGTTTCCATGTTATTCAGACTGGATGAAACCCAACCAGTTTCAGATGAGAATGTCACAGTGATGGATACAGAATTTGCTGGTGTTCCAGTGCGTGTGTACTTGCCAAAGAGAAAGTCAGACGCCCCAAGACGAGCTGTAATCTATATTCACGGTGGTGCATTTTGTTTTGGAAGCTTCAGTAAGTTAATCATATGAGGAAAAACTACAACTGGCTGTGTATTTTTGATATAAGAACTGTTTCATATATGAATACTTATATGTACAATAGTTATAAGTGTAGCTGTAAGTATCAGATATCCCGTAGAGAGATAGACACAGACATATGTTTGGCAAAAAAAAAAAAAAAAAAGACATGGAGATGGTTATTTCAGTTTTGCTTTGGTTTGGTTTTGCTAAGCATTTTCTTATCAGCTTTTATATTGCATAGCTCATATCAGATGAAAGTAGGATATGAATGAGTCAATTAATTCAACTGGTTTTCTTTGGGATAAGAATATATTTGGGAGCAGAAACATTGAAAGAATGCAGATGTTTTAAATGATAAATCGGAGTCATACATTGTTGGTTGCTACAAGGTTGAATTTGCAGTTGCTGATAACAGTAATGCCAACAGTGATGAAGCTTAGAATGGTAGCTAGTCTTGATTCTTAAAGGAAAACACAAAATAGACCTATGGTATAATAAATTCTCCTGGTGAAGTCTAGTTTCCCTATTTACCTTTGGTGATCATTCTAAGAGGCATATATAGCAGGTCCAAAACAGAAAACAGAAATGTATTTTCTTTTACGGAACTTTGGAAAACTCTGTGATACAATGGTGCTCATACATAAGGAGTCACTATTCTATTTAATTAAAAACTGAATAGAATTGAGGAAAAGATAAACAGGTAATAAATAATTGTTTTAATCTTTTGCCTTTCTCTAAGCCTCATTTGGTTCTCTCTTTTTTTTTTTTTAAAGATTTTATTTATTCACTTGAGTCAGAGAGAGCGGGCACATGAGCAGAGGCAGAGAGAGAGGGAGAAGCAGACTCTCCGCTGAGCAGGGAGCCCGACAAGGGGTTTGATCCCAGGACCCCAGGATCATGACCTGAGCCAAAGGCAGACGCTTAACAACCCAGATGTCCCAGAACATGCTCTTCAGTGTAATTTATCAGTCTCTTTCATTTTCGCTTCCCATTTCTATGCCCTATAGGCTCTAGTCCTTCCCTATCCTCTTATTTTCCCACCTTTAATTAATTCTTTGATCTCTACAATCCACTACATTTGCTGAATTCTTGTCTTTTACCTTTGACATGCAGTGGTCCTCCCTTTTTCTCTGACAAAGTATCTCCTAGATTTCCTCTGCCATACCTTGTTTTCTCATCTTTCTCTCTCGTCTCTCATCTCAAAACAAGGCAGGGGTGCCCAGGTGGCTCAGTTGGTTAGGCTTCCAACTCTTGGTTTCAGCTCAGGTCCTGATCTCAGAGTCATGAGATCAAGACCCACATTGGGCTCTGTGCTCATCTTGGAGTGTGCTTGTCCCTCTTCCTCCCTCTGCTTATGCTTTTTTTCTCTCTCTCACAAATACATACATACATACATACATACATACATACATACAATCTTTAAAAACAAACCAAAGAAAATAAGAGATTTTCCATATTTACTCTTCATAAATATTCTTATCTCCCAGAATTGTCTCCCTACCTTTGGGTTTCGATTCTACACACTCTTTTCTAATCCCTTCTCTTCCTCTGCTGATATCCAGTCCTGAATCTGCTTGTCTGATAGTATTCCTGAGTCCTGGACCCATATATACAAATATCACTTAGACATTTACATACTGGACAAATCACAGACATTTCAGTTCAATAGGACCATACACAATTTATTGTCTTATGTCCAAATGGCTTCAGAAAAAAAAAAAAACACCATCTAAACCAATACCTGAAAGCTCTCAGTAAATAGCAGTTACGGTTAATTATTTACAGTTCTTTGATACTCACATCAAATTACCATATCCTATTTATTCCACTTCTGAACTTCCATTTTGACTTCCTTAACACGACTTAGTACCTCATGATCTTTTACATATATTCCTTTTGATGTCTCTCTTTCCTGCTCAATCTTAGTTCATTTTCTACACTTAGTGTGCTGGATCTTTCTAACGTGCAAATATGGTTATATGAGTTATTTTACTAAACTCTTCAGTGACTTTCATCATATATCTAGACCATTAGCATATTGTTCAGGTTTCCAGGTTCTTACATTTTTAACTTTTCTTACTAACGCTACCCTTCATAATTTTGTTTCAACCATACTAAGCTATATTTAGTTCCCAAACTCTCTGTGAATTCTTATTTTGATCTCTGGTATGCTTTTTCTAGAATGTCCTTCCTATCTTATTTTAAGAAAACTTCTGCTTACCCTTTTATGTTCAGATAAAGTATCATTTGGTAGGTAAGGGTGCGTGTATGTGTGTATGTAGTCTCTCTGGCTTTTTTTTTTTTTCCTTAAAGATTTTATCTATTTACTTGAGAGAGAGAGAGCACGAGTAGGCGAAGGAGCAGGAGAAGCAGCAGACTTCCCTCTGAGCATGGAGCCTGACAGGGCCTTGATCATGGACCCTGAGATCATGACCCGAGCCCAAGGCAGATGCTAAACTGACTGAGTCATCCAGGTGCCCCTAGTCTTCCCTGGCTTTAAAAGGTTTTAGTAATGTTGCTATGGGGCCCATTGCAGCCTGTGTTTACCTGATGGCAACAATCTTCTTCTTTCTTTTTTTTTTTTTATATATAATTGTGTTGCATGCTCGGTTAGCATCTCTCCAGGAAGTAGAATCACCTCTTTGCATCTACCAAAGCATTTTCCATACAATGAATGTTCAAAAAATAAATGTCTTGAGAAAAAATATACTAAATGACTAAAAGGAAATTCTGTGGTTGTTCTCTAGAGGGATTATTAATCAAAATGTTTTCCCAATACTTTTATATCTTTTTCACCTCCTTAATCTTTTCAACAAATTAGATTTCACTTGTAATTTAATTTATATCAGACATTAGGGTGGTTGGAATACTTTGCTTCCTTTATAAAATACATTATAAGATATTATAAGATAGATAAGAAGATAAATTAAATATCAATTTGACCTCATTTTTCTCTAAAGAGATGTATTAGTGCCATTAGAGCTTTTATAAAGTCTATGAAATATCCATGTATCCATATATATATATTTTACCTGGAACTTCAATGAGCACAAGAGAAATGCTCACAGATGGGAAAAATACTTTGTTGGAAACATACTTAGTAGTGCTTCTGAATATCAGATTGATTACCCCTTCATTGACAAATGCAATGATTGTGATACATAATTCCTAAAAATATGTGAATTATTATTCAGGACACACATTCCAATTTCTTGCTCAGCTGAATTTCAGTTGTGTATTTTTTCTGGTCTTGGCTTTATATTTGCACATTATTTGTTTGTAGATTGAGAAACTTTCTATTTTGTGACAGGTCAGGACTAGACATTTTAATATTGTCTGGTATTTATAAATTTCAATTTCCTTTCTTTGTTTCCCAGGCTTCCTATTTTTTTTTCCTCCATTAGACTTGCTGAAAACTAAGAAGCATAAGAAGATATTTCTTTTTTTTTTTTTTTTTTTTACATAGAACTGTGGTTGTTGTTTTTGACATCTATCCTAATATCTTTTTGTTTCTACCTGGGTTCTTCAAGTGATATAAATTCAATAGTTGGACATAGAAGAAAGAAAAACATGAACCAACAAATTTTATCAGGAAATATAGTGAGTTAAGACAGCTGGAGATAAAGAATGGGAAACAAAACACTTAAACTGACTTTGTTGCAAGATAAGTGAAAAGTATTGGGAAATAAAAAATAAAGACAGGTTTGAAATAAATCATTGAGGGGCTTTCAGAGGGTTCTTGTACATTTTGGTGTTCATCTACCCATGGCTTCATCTTGCAAATCATCAACTAAATCTTTAATGAAAACATTATTTTTCTACCTACAAGACTCGCTGACTTACTTTTCTGTTTTCATGGCATTCACTCCCAGTATTTAATTAGTTTTTAATTTGAAGTTTTGTTAATGTGCAGGAAGCATCTTGGAAAAGTCTGGAATTTGATCACAGCTCTAGAGTTTTCTGAACTTCTAGGGTCTTGTAGCAACTAAAGTAATAGCAGATGTAGCAGATGTCATAGAGTTGACAATGTTTTGTGGCCAGGGCATTGGGAAATTGGATTTGGAAGTACCTGGGATGAGATATGCGTGTGTACTGGGGAGATGAATGATGGTTTGTGTGCCATGTGTGCCAAAATGGATATGTACATTTAAGTCCACATACTGACTTGCCAGAGGCTCTCCCAAAATTTAGTTGTTTTTCCTTAAGACTCTGTCTCAGCTACTAAGGTTATTGCAACATTTTATAATGTGGCATACTAAAAGAATTTGGAGATTCAAAGAACCATATTACTGAGTGCTGTGGTTTTAGAGAATCAGTACATCTATTATTTCTCCCCTGAATTCTGAGCCACTTGAAGATCATACACAAGATTCGAGTGAGTGACAGTCAAAGCATAACCATTATTTCCAAAGAAGGTTTTGGAGAATGTGTATTTAGGTATTATGACACTCTTGAGTTAGATTAACTCATCTGTAGTGGCTGGCCCTGTTGATCAATCACGCACCTCCTCCTTATGAAACTTGCTGCCTGAAGGAACAAGCAGAATAAAATGCAACAAGCCACAGAAGGTTCTCAGGGGTCAGGCTCCTTATGTATAGGTACCAGATGAAAAGAGAAAAATTAGAATGGGCTTAGCCTAGTTTCTCTTCCTCAAAACCACCACTCTGCCTAGACATCCTTCCATCTCTGGAGACAGTGCCTGAGAAGAAACTCCTGCAGAGTGTTTCATGCTGATTCTGGTCCCTCTGCATAGAAATGGGGTGGGAAATATAAGTTCCTATATAACACACCCAAATCGCATTTCTTCCCAAGTTCACAGCTATAAGCATTTCTGTTGCTGTTTAATTACAGAGAGTACTTTGACATTTATTTTTTCATTTCAGAAAATGCGGGTTTTGACTCCCTGAACAGATGGACTGCAAACAAACTCGATTCTGTTGTTGTAGGAGTGGAGTAAGAGACTGATTTTCTTTGGTTACTATGATTTTTTGCCTTTATCAAGTAGAGTTTTGATTTCCAAATCAAGTCAACTATACTCAGATATAATTTTTAAAAAATTAATCTATTTTATTTATCACCATTGCAACATAGACCATTCCCCCAAAAGAATCCAGTATCTCATATTCTTCTTGGATTATGTGAATCTCTGAGTGACATTCTTGAGTGAGCATTTTTGGAAACACTGTTGCTTTAGATGTGTAGAATTCAGGTCCCAATTTGTATCTCAGGTAACAGTTAGATAGAAATAAATGAATTTTTACACATTTGGGATGGTAGCTTGTGTTTGGGTTGGCAAAAAAAAAATTTTTTTTATAATTCTTATTTGGAGTAATGTGGGGGATAAAGATTGGGATCAGCTAAGAATCTTGAGCCACTCTCAGGAAAAATGATCTTACGTTCTGGATTTTGCTAGAAAATATCAGAATGTCTCAGGACGTTCATTACTTTCTTAGAATGGTACAGTATAAATTTCTGAAGCTGACATCCCCAAGAGTAATTTTTTTCTTACCCCTCTCCCCTAGTTCCTAGTAACAAAAACATACTTAGAGAATTCCAATCTAATAGTTCTTAGAGGCTATAGTGACATAGGTTTTTTGCTTTGTTTTGTTTTTGTAGCTAGGAAGCTATGAATGTTCAGAGAGACAACTAAAGTGACAATTTGATCACCAAAGGAGTGATCATCAATGTTGTCATTTTGGCCACTTTCAGTACCTACAGTTCCTATTTTCTTTTTTTTTTTTTTTTTTTTAAGATTTAATTTATTTATTCCTGAGAGAGAGGCAGAGGCACAGGCAGAGGGAGAAGCAGGCTCCCTCCATGCAGGGAGCCTGATGTAGGACTCGTTCCTGGGTCTCTAGGATCAGGCCCTTGGCCAAAGGCAAACACTCAACTGCTGAGCCACCCAGGCATTCCAACACTTCCTATTTTCAAGGGTACTTCTAATTTATAATACAAGGACATTACATTTTTTTTCTTTTTTTTACCTCTATAGCTCTTTTTTTTTTTTAAGATTTTATTTATTAGAGAGGGAGCATGAGCTGGGTGGGGGAGGCAGAGACAGACTCTGCACTGAACAGGGAGCCTAATATGGGGCTTGATTCTGGAACCCTGAGATCATGACCTGATCCAAGGCCAGACTCTTAACCAACTGAGCCACCCAGACACCCCTTACCTTCATAGCTTTTGAAGTAATCTAAATCTTCTCACTTTAAATCTATTTTAATATAGTAATATGTTTGTGTCTGGCATATATATCCTATTAAATCCTTATAATTTGTGTTGTTCTTTGCCCTAAAAAAGTCTAAATCTACTGCATTGAAAGTAATAGATACCAACATCTTTGGGATGTGTTTAACCTATACTTTGTTTAGGACTTTCTAAATATATTTATGATAAAATTTTAAGTATTATCTCATCAACATTTAATATTAAATACAAATTTTTTTATTCTGAAGAGCAAAAAAAGTCCTGATAGATAATAGCTAATAGAATTATTCTATTTTTACTGCTCCACATATAGAGGGGGAAAAAGCCACTTATATCCATCAAAAGAATGGTGTGGTAGTGTGCTTTGTGAATGTATTTATCAGAAACAAGCAACCTCCCTGGCATATTTAAAATATTATTTATACTTCAAAATTTTCATCTAAAATCAACCCTGGGCATTATCCATAGTGAGGTGTGTACATTGTAAGCATGTAGAATTTTTACCTAAGTGACCTTGAAAAAATATAACATTTTGCCTAGAATATTCTCTTAGATCTGCTGCCTTCAAAACTCCGTGGTGCTTTTTTAATGTTTGGATCATCAGTTACATTGAGAAGATGATATAAGTTGTAGAGTATCTCCAATCCAAAATGTGCTCGGACTAAAAATTATGCTTACAGTTTAGAGAGTTCATAATATCCCCTACTCCTCACATACAATGCTATCCAGGGACCTTAGACACAAAGTTGAAAAGCTTTATACCAATTCTCATTTTTTCCAAAGAATAAGGAGCCAGTGGAAAAATTCAGGTTTAATATTTGGAAGATTAAACAACAGAGACTGGTGTTAAATTGCATTTATTTGGTATTTAAAAGCTACTTGGAAAGATCTAACCATAAATGGTACTTTTAAAATGAATTTTTTTAAAGTTATAGATTAGCTCCTCAACACCACTTTCCAGTTCAGTTTGAAGATTGCCTCACTGCAGTCAAGTTTTTTCTCCAAGATGAAATTCTTGCAAAATACGGAGTAGATCCTACACGAATCTGTATTTCAGGAGACAGTTCTGGGGCCGGTTTGGCAACAGGAGTGACTCAACAGGTATGTTTTATTTATCTTTATTCTGAGAGGTTGAGTTTAAAACTCATTTTTTTTTCTTATACAGATAACCAGTTCTTCCAGCAACATTTGTTGAAAAGACCATCCTTTCTCATTGGATTACAGTGATGCTTGAGTTTAAAATCAATTGGCCATAATATGACTATTTCCGAACCCTCTCTTCTGTTCCATTGGTACTACTTTGACTTCAGCTTTTTTCTGTCTTCAAAATTATTTTGACTACTCTATATCTTTTCCACCAAAATGTTGGGATATCTTGCCAATTTCTAAAATAGAAAGGCTAATTGTATTTTGATTGGTATTGCGTTGAATCTATAGATTTGAGGATAATATTGATACTGATATAATAATATAATATTAATACTTCCAATTAAAGCACATGGTATAGCTCATATTTTATTTAGGTCCTCTTCAATTTCCTCAATACTATTTCACTTTTTCAGTGTAGATATCTTAGAAATCTTTTTTCAATTTATTCCTGAGTTATTTTGGAAAATTTTCACGTAAAATAGTATTTTTCAAACATTTCTTTGACAGTATATAGAAATACATTTGATTTTTACATTGGCCTTTTACAATCATATCTTTATAAGTTCCACTTATAAATTACAGTATTTTTTAAAACATTTTCCAGAATTTTCTACATAATCTTATCTTCCACTACTAGAGATAGTTTTAATTCCTTCTTTCCTGGCTAGGGCTTTCAGGATGATATTGAATACAGTTGTCTTGCTCTGACAGCTTAGGAGGAAATCTGAGGAGGAAATCACTCAGTATTTCACTAATAAATATGATGTTAACTGAAGGCTTTTCATAGTTGGCTTTTGTTGATTGAAGAAGTCCTTTCTATTCCTAGTTTGCAGATGGTGTTTGCACAAATAGGTATTAAATTTGCTAATTTTTTAAAGATTTTATTTATTTATTATTTATTTATTGTTTATTTATTTATTTATTTATTTATTTATTTGAGAGAGAGAGAGAGAGAGAGAGATATCTCCAGGGAGTAAACAGGCTGGGGAGGAGCAGAATGGGAGGGAAAGAGACAGGACAAGCAGACTCCATGCTGAGCATTAAGCACCCTGAGTCCAGGACCTGAGCTGAAACCAGGAGTTGGATGCTTAACTGACTAAGCCACCCAGGTACTCCCAATTTGCTTAATGTTTTTAATGCATCTATTGATGCATGACTGTGAAACACACATGACTGTGTGATTTCTTTCCTTTATTCTTTTAACATGGTAAGTTATGTGAATTGACTTTCAGATGTAAAATTATGCTTACATTCCAGACATGAGCCTCACTTGGTCATGATGACAAATTTTTGTATATTACTGGTTTCCATTTGCTAAAATTAAAGATTTGAGGGATTGATATCTATTTTTTTTTAAAGTTCTTTGTCACAGCCTCATTCAATCATTTGGGAAGCATTCCAACTTCTCTGTTTTGTTTTGTTTTTTTTCAGAATACCTAATCATAAATTTATTCTTTAGAGGAGAAGAATGGTGAGGAAAGCAGAAAGCTCACAGCTGAAATCAGAAATCACAACATAAATTCATCATTTGTTCAAATGACAGTTGCTTAAAGTCAAACTTTTAGAGGGCTTTGAAGAAGGGAATAAGTCAGGTCATTTCCAGGATGTGATCGTAGAGAATTCAGACACAGGTTAGTTATACAAGTCAATTAGTCATCTATGTTTCTTGAGCCCAAGTCTCCAAGGATTGGCAGCTTCTTCATTCATGACACCAAAGCTTGATGTTAGGTACACAGAGACACTCATAAGAATTGTGTGTGCGTTTGTCCTCACTCAAAATTTGGGGGACTAATTCAGGACACTGGGAGGGGCCCCTGTGAGCTGAGAGGGAATTTGCAGAGATGTTCCAATGAGTTGCTGCTATTGGGAAAAAGAGGTGAGGGGCCCACTGGAATGGAACTGGAAGAGCTCCCCAGTGGGGCCAGGGTCTAGGAACAGAATGACAGGAGCAGACCTTTCGTTGGATTGGGCCATGTAGGCCACGTGAGGGGAGCACTTGATGTCTGCCTCCTTTGGGCTGTGAGGCTTGGAGGTGGTGAACTGCAGGACTGCTGTTTCCAGAAGTCATCCACAGGAAGCAGAGGTGGGGGGCAGGGAGTGCTATGTTGATGTCATCAATGCTCACAAAGGCTTCTTTAAGGGTTTGGTGCATTTGAAACATCTCATCTCAGTGCTGAGCCTGCTCAGCAGGTTCCTCCATCAGAGTATTTTGGTCCTCTGAAGAATATAACTGCGCTAAGAGCTCTGAAGTTATAAATGCTTTAACACTATTGACTATAAGGTATATTTTCACTTTTGGAATTTGATGTCGTCACACGTTGGGATGGCAGATATGTAGAAGTCTACTAGGTTATGAAAGGTCCTCACTTGTCTCTCCACTTGTGCATCCATGGAAAGGATTTCTGCTTGGCTAGCCTCATTATTTGCAGTTGAAGATTCATAAGCACAAACTTCAGTTCTTAGTAGGGAGGTCTTCCAGCTGCCTACATCCTCCAGTGAATCACAGGCCAGCTCAAGAGAGCAACAATCTTTGTATACATTCTTTTGTTCTTTATTAAAGAATTGAAACATGTATTTGCTAGACAAAAAGTCCACACCCCAAACTTCCAGGTTTCCCAGGAGAAGTGTATACTTATTTTCTTTTTCCTTGTCATCTTTGTATGAGGACAAACTCAGTGATAAGGACAAACCAATATCCTTTAGAGCCTCCCTTCATGATGCCAGTGATGCTGGTGGCTAGCTACTCCCTGCAAATTACCCTAATTTCCATTTGTATTTTTCTTGCTAACTTGACTGCTCCTCTGCTGAGCTGAGCATTTGCAAAGTTAATAAAATCTTCCTGTTTGGCGTTGATGTAGGAGACTTGGGTGTCAATCAATAGCAGTACCTGATGCTTTGTCTTGACTTCTTGCTGTCAAATGTGGTTAGCAACAAGCCTTTCCATTTCCTCTCAGGGTCTGGGAAAGTTTGCCATTTTGAGGGGTATTCTTGACAGTGTTGATTAATTTTTGTGTTACCAGATCTACACTTTTCAAGGAAGGCCCTCTCAGCTTTGCAATTCATCTTTTGACTATTTCTTGGACTGCCATGTCTGTAGAAAACAACCCTGTCCTGATACAGTGTATGTTTTTGGTTGCATAGGATATTCCTCTTCACAATTCTTTCTCATTGAACTCCATCTTTACAATCTTCGAAGAAAAGCCTTCATAAAAATACAATTGATTTTAGCACTTCTTGAGAGTTCCAGAGTATCTACTTGATCCCCTAACCCTTTGATTCTCTTCTCAGAGTCTGCAGCAAATTGTTGATCTACCCGTAGCAATGCTTTGGTCTTCCTGATAGTTTTCTGGCTCAAAGGTATTTTTTAGGTTTCTACTTTGTGTTGTGTGGAAATCAACTGCCCTTATCATTTCTTTCTGAAGTTTGGCAAAGTATCTCAAAAGTGGTTGGTATTTTGCTGATTAAGGGGCTTCTGCAGGTATGGGGTCTCCATCTGATCAGCAATATGTTTGTGAGATGGGTGCGAGAGAAGCAAATTCTTGTCTGTCAATATGGCAGCCTTTATGTCCTTCTTTCTACCTGTGTTCTTTTTTTTAATTGAAATTTGATTTGCCAGCATACAGTAGTATAACACCCAGTGCTCATCCCATCAGGTGCCCCCCTCAGTGCCCGTCACCCAGTCACCGCATCTCCCCCACTCACATTCCCCTCCGCAACCCTTTGTTTCCCAGAGTTAGGAGTCTCTCATGATTTGTCACCTTCTCTAATTTTTCCCCTTCAGTTCCCCTCCTTTGCCTCTCACTATTTCTTATATTCCCCGTATGAGTGAAACCATATGATGTTCTTTTAGCTTCTGTTTACCCTCTCACGTAACCCCTGTGAAGAGGCAGTATCTTATTTTCTAGGACACCCCTGGCATCTCTTTCTTCATCTGTAAGGTCTAGTTTGGTGATGATTCCAGGGGTTCTCAGACCTTGAGGATCAACATCTTTAGCTAGCTTCAGTGATTTGAGTTTGTAAGGTTAATATTGGCTAGGGCAACAGCCAAAGTCAGCTCTCCTGAATGATGAACTGCTTAATTATTTCTCTGATTGGATACTCACTATCTGGTGACTGATCTCCTGTGAGCACTTTAGTTACTCTGGGTAGGTTGATAAAAGTTAGATTTAACACAAGCAGGGAATAGATTATCTTCCCAAATTTCCATGAAACCTGCAATATCCCTCTTTTTTAAAAAAATTATTTCCTTTTAAGAATAAAAATAAAATACTCAAGTTAGACTACTTACAGGAAAATTATATTCACACACATATTAATATTTTATATATACACATATACAAATATTTATGTACATACATATGAGCATGTACATATACCTATGCATATATACTTCTCTGTATTACCACATACATTTACAAAGCCCTACTGTAGAGCCAGAATAGCAATTGTTAGCAAGGCTTCACCTTTAATCTGCACTCTGGGCTTCCCTTCAGCCCAAGATGTTTCACTTTAATCCCCTTCATGTTTAGAGTTCTATATACATTTTCTTAGGGGAAAAAAATAGAATTTCATTACCAAAAAGAAAAGTTGCAGACCATTAGACTTGTTGATTCCTGAGGCCTCTTTTGACCTGAACTAATTTTCTGTGTATTTTAAATAATATATCACTTATTTGAAAGATCTTGCTGGGATAGGGTGGGAAGTGTGGTGGGGAATGAAAATTGCAGACTATCCCCTTTTTTACATTATTAATTGCTATGCCACATCATATAGAAATGTAATCTTTTTTTAAGATTTTATTTATTTATTTGACAGAGAGAGAGAGAGAGAGAGAGAGAGAGAGAGAGAGAGCACAAGCAGGGGAGCATCAGGCAGAGGGAGAAGCAGGTTTCTTGCTGAACAGGGAGCCTGACGCAGGGCTCAATCCCAGGACTCCGGGATCAAGGCCTGAGCTGAAGGTAGGCGCTTAACCAGCTGAGCTCCCCAGGTGCTCCTAGCAATCTAATCTTGAATTTCACCTAAAACTGGTTTTATGGATTTAGAAATTCTGAAAGCTATCCAGTAATTACCAAATCAAGAAGCACCTTGCTACACCTCTAATTTCTGTTTACATATTGTAATATTTCCCAGGCTTAGTAAATGAGGAAAGCTTTTGAAATGAAGACAGGTATAGTCCTAGAGATTCAAGATGTGAAGACCTCTCATTGCTTTCCAGCAGGGCGATCCTAAATATTAACATAGCCACCAAAACCAGATGCAATTCTCAGTAAAATTTGTGGGCAGGACAAGTTGTCTTACAGTGAATTAAAATTTGACATTATTCCTTTCTTTGAATTAGATAATTATACAAGAATATAGTATCTGTTTAACTTGCTGATATATCTGATCAAAGAGATTATTACAACTGAAAATGCTGTGTCAGAACTCAATAATTAAATGACATAAAAAAGGTGACTTCCTTTACGCTTTCTTGTTTATTTTTATGATCATACTTTAAGCTACTTATTCACAGTCTGCTAAACTTCCTCTGTGAGTTATATTTTAATCCAAAAGTTTTATTCCCCATACTAGGTTGGTTCTTTATCTGGGTCATCAAAATCAACTTTTACTTTGTAAATATTATAAACCTTTTTCCCCCCAAAGTCTCATGACCTTGTGCTTAATAATATGTTAAAGATTTATGGCCTGAAAAACTCAGTTTCAATAAGAATCTATCACTGAGAGATCAATATTGTTCTGTACTCTGAGAAAACTTCAAGAGGATATATTCAACTTGTTTTTCCAGTATACCAAAAAAGAAAAAAAAAACATACAGAATTCACAATATAAAAAGCTGGTCTCATGGATTAAGAAGTCAAATAGATTCTTCTATAATTTTGTTTTGTGGACTTTGTCTATTTTTCAATTATGTTTTAATTATTGAAAAGGAAATGAAGACATTTCTCCTGAAGACTTTCTGGCAATATCACATAATGTGTCCTAAAATCACTAAAGTTGGTGGCCAGTCACAAGGATCTGAATAATCACTACAATCAAGGAAACTTTTCTGGACATAGTCCCGTGATTTTTAATTTAAAGGAGCAAATATTAAAAATTTAATCATAGCATTTAAATGCAATTTCATCACCATCTCATCCAACTTAATTTTAAAGTAACTTATGCCTTATTTTTATTTATTCGAGTCATAAACATCTTCTTAATTTGAGAAAATAATATGGATGAATCCTTAAGGAGGAAAGCAAGTTGATTCTTTTGGGCTTTTTGAAGGATTCTGTATTAATCCATTTGGGCTGCTCAAAAATAATAGCAGATACTGTGTTACTTATAAACCATAGAAATTTATCTCTCACAGTTCTGGAGGCTGGAAGTCTGACATCAGGGCACCAGGATGGTCTGATGAGGGCCCTCTTCCAGGTTGCAAGCTTCTCATTATATCCTCATGTGGTGGAAAGGGCAAGCTAACTCTCTGAGCCTTCTTTTATAAGTATGTTCATCCCATTCAGGAAGGTTACACTCCAGTGACCTAAATACCTTCCAGACACCCCACTGACTAATACCATCGCCTTGGTCATTAGATTTTTCAAAATATGAACTTGGAGGAACATAAACATTCGGACTATAGCAGGCTCCACGTGGGAGTTCTCCAGCTCCCAGTGTTGTTGGAACATGCGCCCTAGAATGAGACCAAAAGGCCTCTCATATCAGAATTCCTTCATAATGGTTCATTGTTCCCACAAATACTCACTGGCTGTCTGTGTATTGGTGAAATTGGGTGTGAGGTAGGGTGGGGGGTGGTCAAGAAAAAGGAAAATTAGTGGGAGGAACAATCACAGTTGCTGTGGAACTGGGTTTACCTGGTTGAAAATAGTAGATCTGCTAAGTTTGGTGAATAAGACTTAGTACTAGTGATGTAGGAATTCTACATATAAGTTAATATTTTGCACACATCTCTCCTTCTGTGGATGACAGGCAATGGATAGGTTGCTGTGGACATGCAGGACTTTGAATAACACACATCCAGACCAGGGAGGAGATAGTAAGGACCCTTGCAAAACCAGTGACTGGTTTGAAAAGGGCAGTGGATAATGAGGGACTCAGTCAGGAACTCTTGTATGTGCCCTTGGCAGGAAGAACCTACTATTTTTCTAGGAAAGCACCATGCCTTAATAGATGGTCTTTGGGTGTCTGGGGAAAGGGAGAGAATTCAGTAATGCTTCACCCTATCTGGAGCAGGCCTTTTGTCAGATATAAGTATCTGACGGACAACTGCTCTGAATGGGCTTCAAAGCCATTGAGTCCGTAGACTGATACTGGCCTCTGTGCACAGGGCACAAAGTCATGAAGCATCTTTTCTCTGACTTTGCTATCAGCTACCACTCAGCCACCACTCCCAACTCATAGGGGTTGGTTGTAGTGAAATGTTCAACGTGTAGTATTAAAAAAGCAGAGAAATGAATAAATCAATAATGCTCTTAAGAGGACACTATCCTTAGAACCAGAAATCACAGGATGTAAGAAGCAGTAAGAGACATAAAACAAGTAGGTTTCATGTAGGAGTGAAAATAGCTCTGACCCACATGTCACTCCAAGCTTTTTAGCATGATGAGAAGTCTTTTATGAACTGGTTCCAAATTTTGTTCCCAAATATGCAGACTTAGGAGATCAGTCTTTACCATGGTGGTAATAAACTACTCTCATGATAGTCCTATCAGTGGCATGAACTGTAACTTGAAAAACCAGTTAGAGATTCAAATTACATGGTTTAGTAAAAGAAGGGCAGAGGGAATAGTTTATATGTGGGAGAATTCTATTTTAGTTTTCATGAATTTAGGATTAATGGTATAAAAGGGAAGTTCAAATGCATCCTATCCATTGTGTTCTCCTTGAAATACTGTTAATTATTGAAAAGGATTAAGAATAAGGATGGGCTTTGTTGAGCACATTCCATAGCCTTTTACTGAGTTACCAAAGGTCTTTCTTATACTGAAAAATAAAAATTTAAACAGACAATTCAAGAAACATTACCAGTGTTTAAACCTCAACAAGCAAGACATGTTCTCTCAATTTTTTTTTGACTTTGTATTTTCATTCTTGTTCTTTTCAAAGTAATAATAGTGTCCTGAGATAAATGTCTTATACATTTTCTGCAGTCAGGTACATATGAGTTGCAGTTAGGTCCATATGAAATGAGAAATTCATATCCATTCATGTAAGAACCACTTTTCTGTTAAAGGACGGTCCACTCAGGGCTTTTGGTGGTAATGTTCATGGATCAGTATCAATGCTCGTTTGCACTTTTGCACTCTGATTAGCTAGTTGTCTTTGAGTCCATATGGGTCTAAGAAGGAAAGAACAGAACCATAGATAACTCAATAATTCAGTGTTATTGTTGGGACCGATTTGTTATATGTCTCTTACTGCTTCTTACAGCCTCTGATTTCTGATTCTAAGGATAGTGTCCTCTTCAGAGCATTATAAACTGAGCAGTGATATTGATTTATTCATTTCTCTGCCTTTTCTATACTATATTGAACATTTCAGTATTTTAGACTCAGTAAGAGATACAATGATAAGTTAGATATTATCAGCGCTTGTGGAACTCAAAATCCAGCAGAAAGATCCATTATGTATATTTTTGTAATATAAGGGGAAAATGATCATTGACCTGAAAGAGGTAGAGAGCTTTTCGGAAGTTGAGAGGAGATTGGAGAAAGAGAAGTGAACTTTGGTCAGGTACTCACAGGCATAATCATACATATGTGACTATAAATGTACATAAAATGTGTAGAAAACATCTGAGAAGATTCATACCAGACTGATAACAGGGAAAAATTGCCAAAGTTGGAGAATCTGACCAGCAGGTGCTCTTTCAATATAATGAAGGGGGTTAACTTTGAAATGAGCTTCAAAGGATGACAGAGAGATGGGAAGTGGCAGTGAATGGCCCAAGCAACAAATGATGTAATGGGGACATAGAGGTGGTAAGTGGTGTCACTTTTGTGGGAAAACTTATTTCATCTCACATTCCAGAGACGGCAGTGAGAGCCAGATAAGGGTGTTGGTAGGTTCCTTTTTGCCCTCTCCCTGTGTATGTGGTGCTGTTTGTTTCTTTGTCTAGGTTTGGGATTTTGGCAGTGGGATGTTAATGGTGGACTTTTGCTCAGTAAATCATCGACCTGAGGGCACTTGGGAGAGACTTAGAAGTTTCATTCAGAAAACACTGTTTTGGCTCATTTTCATTCTAAACTTGTGAAGCCTCTAGCACTTTGGGAAAGCATCCTGGAGGCGATAGGATACAATATCCCTTTCTGAGGTACCTCTCGGAGTTCAGTTTTTTCACTCTTTTGGGTTTAGCTGGCTGCTGTGGTGGAAGATTGACTTGTAGGTACATAGGACTGGATCCTGAAGTGTGTTGCACTTAGGGCAGCAGCAGGTTTTTTCATTTGTCCAGATGCCATTGTCTCAGATGCCATGCTCTAGCTGAGACACTTGCTCCCTGGAGGTTATTTCAAAGTTTTTCCTATGGTCCACAGGGTCATAGGTGAACCTCAGGAGACCCTTCACCTCTCGAAAAGGCTCCTGGGACACCTGGGTGGCTCAGTGATTGAGAATCTACCTTCAGCTTAGGTTGTGATCCCAGGGTCCCAGAATGTGAAGTCCTGCATCAGGCTCCACACAGGGAGCCTGCCTCTCCCTCTGCCTATGTCTCTGCCTCTTTCTGTGTGTTTCTCATGAGTAAATAAAATCTTAGGAAGAAAGCAAAAGAAAAAAAGGGCTCCTTGTCAAATATTACACATTTTCTCCTTGCATGTCAAACTGTAAATATCAACAAGTTTTTTTTAAAAAAATCAATTTTATCCCTTTGTTTTCTAAGTATTACCATTTTTTCAGAAGGTAAGTTACCTATTAACTGGCTTCTTTTTTCTTTTTCTTTTTGTCTGTGTACTTTTGCACTTAAATATATTTCTTAAAATGTACAGTTGGGAACATAGTTAATAGCCAAATAATATTATTTTAAACTTTAAAAAGTTTTAAAATATTTTCATTTTAATATTAATTTTTAAACTTTAAGATAAAGATAAAATATTATTTAGTAACTACATCTATTTCTTCTATTCACTGTGGTTTTTTTGAGTCAGGAATTTTTACAAACTTATATATACTGTCAATTTCCCCAGGAAGACACTACTTGGGTTATTTGTATTGGTGATTTTTGACAAAAACATCATTATATGTATATATCTCCCTCTCCCCCATCCCTCTATTTTTTTCTCCTTTGCCCACTGTACTGAACTCCTTTTATGTACCAACCCAATTGACAATAAACCATCAATTTGCTAAAGCAAATCTAGGAGGGTTTATGCTGTTAGTGGTTATGAAGCCACTACTGTCACAACTACTACCTCTGCCACTACCTCAGATTGAGGAGCTCACTGTGTCCATTGTTCCCAGTCTCTCAAATTGCTCTTGGGTACAGCCCATATGTCTATTTTTTTTAATTTGTAGATATATAATTTATATATAACATATTAGTTTCAGATGTACAGCACGATAACTAGATATTTGTACATATTGCAAACTGGCAGCACAGTAAATCTAGTTAACATCTACTATCATGTATGACTACAAATTGTATTTCTTGTGATAAGAACTTTTAAGGTTTACTATCTTCACAGCATTCAAATATACAAACTTTGGATAATTGACTCTAGTCACCATGTTATACATTACATCCCCAGGACTTACTCATTTTGTAACTGAGAGTTTGTATCTTCTCCCTTTCTCGCACACGTAACCAACATTTTTAAGACTTTACTGTTGAAATGAGTTTGACATTTTTTCATGCCACTGAAAGACATTATAAATATTGTGAAAATAGCTATAATAGCACATCAATTTGTATAGATTTATCACGAGATTGCTTAAATTATTAAATTCCTTCCTCGTGGTGTTTCAGAGGTCTTTGCTTATAGGACATCATTATGTTTTTTCAGGTCCAGACTGACACTGGATTTAAACATAAAATCAAGATACAAGCTTTACTTTACCCGGCCTTACAGATAATTGATTCTTATCTACCATCTCACCAAGAAAATGAGCATGGTATAATTCTATCAAGGGACTTGGCCATAAAACTTGCGAGTTTATATCTCACCAAGGATGAAACATTTGTCGAGGCGATGAGAAGAAATGAACATATGCCTCAGGAATCAAGACATCTGTTTCAGTTTGTTAATTGGAGCACTCTTTTACCCGAGAAGTATAGGAAGGGTTATGTTTATACTGAACCAATTCTTGGAAAACATAATTTTTCATTTCCAGGACTTATGGATATTAGAATATCACCCTTGCTAGCCAATGATTCCCTGTTACAGAATTTGCCACCAACCTATATTCTTACCTGTCAATATGATATTGTGAGGGATGATGGACTTATGTATGTTTCAAGACTTCAAAATGTTGGAGTTCAAGTTACTCATGACCATATTGAGAATGGAATCCATGCAGCTTTATCATTTATGACACCACCACTGTATTTACATGTAGGTCTCAGGATAAGAGATATGTATATTAGTTGGCTAGATAAGAATTTATAAATATGCATGACATATACATATTTATAAATATTTATATACTTGGCCATCAGGTAACAGATTGTAATCTGTGATTTTTTTGTAGTTGTGTCAAGAAGAATGTCATTTGTGTTATCTGAATCTAGATTTAAGTTAGTTATAACAGTTACTGTATGTCCTTGAACTGTTTGATTTTTCTGATTCACAGAATCTGCACGTGTAAAATGCATTTAATCCCTTCATTTATTATTGATTATGATTATGTTGATCCCAGTAGGGACCGCACCTATTAAAGTTGAGAAATAAGAATGGTTACTGGCAAGTTAGATAAGATTGTTTCCAGGCAGATGCAGAAAATGCAATAGTGAGTGGGAAGAGGAAAAATTTAAAAAAAACAAAGTATGAAGTAATTTGATTACTTTTCTGTGTTGTAACATATTACTACAAATCTAATGGCTTAACACAACAGAAGTATTTTCTCTTAAGTGTCTTAAGGGTGGGGGGGGCGGGGGGGGTGTAATTTGATTACTTTTCTGTGTTGTAACATATTACTACAAATCTAATGGCTTAACACAACAGAAGTATTTTCTCTTAAGTGTCTTAAGGGTGGGGGGGGCGGGGGGGAAGTAATTTGATTACTTTTCTGTGTTGAAACATATTACTACAAATCTAATGGCTTAACACAACAGAAGTATTTTCTCTTAAGTGTCTTAAGGGTGGGGGGGGCGGGGGGGTGTCACAAAATCAAGCTGCCACCAAGAGCTACACTCCCTCTGGAGACTGTAGATGAGGCTGTTTGCCTCTTTCATCTGCCAGTATTCCTTGGTGTAGCCAGATTATTTTATCTTGAAAGTTAGCATCTTCAAATCTTTCTCTGCTCCATCTTTACATGGCCTCCTCTGCCTCCCTTTTAGAAAGATACATGTGTTTGCATTTAGGGTCCACCAAAGTAATCCAACGTAACATCCCCATCTCAAGATCCTTATTTAATTACATTTGCAAATACCTGTCTTTTTCCCCATGTAAAGTAACATTTATAGGAACTAGAATTTAGATATCTTTTGGAAGACCATTTTTTTTCACATTTTCTGTCAAATGTTACTTTTTAAAAAGGCAACAGATCAACACTATAATTCATTCTAATCTAAATATGTACTCAACAGTGTAGCCCAGCTCAGTATAGAGTGAACGTTTTTTTTTAAACTGTCAAATATGTCATTTCAAAATACCAAAATAAGAAATCACTTCTACAAGCCATTTGTTGAGTGAAACCATAAATTAAAACTAAAGATTTATTGCTGTGAAAACAATCTGTAGTACAGTAGTATGAATCTTGGATATGAAATATAACCAATTGAATCAGGTTAAGTTAAAAATAGGTGTTGGAGAAGAGGGCGGAGAAGTAGGGTCCCCAAGTCACCTGGCCCCACCAACTTACCTGGATGACTTTCAAACCTTCCTGAAAACCTATGAATTCAACCTGAGATTTAAAGAGAGAACAGCTGGAACCCTACAGGGAGAAGAGTTTTCACTTCTGACAAGGCAGGAAGGGGGAAAAAATAAAAATAATCCAGTGGTGGGGGGGGGCATGAGGAGCCCCCGACAGGAGAGCCCAGCTCTGGAGAAACAGGAACTTTAAAAAACCCGCCCCGGATTCTTCCCAGAGGGAAAGGTGCTCATCAGGGAACTTGGGCAGGATCCCAGGAGGGGCAGTGGGGCCTCCAGTCCCCCAGGGTCACTAGGAGAGGAGGGGCACCCCAGGGAGAGCCCAGCAACCCCTCCCCCAGAAGACCAGCTGGAAGGACGGGGGAAGAGCAAGTTCTGGACTGAGCAGCACTGGAAAGCTCCAGGGGAAGTCGAGGAATTTACAGTATATGGAACCAGAGGGTACCCCTCGTTTTTTTTTTCTCTTCCTTTTTCCGTACAACTCATTTTGATATCAGACTGCAAATTTCCATTTTTTTCTCTTTTCCCACCTTAACTACAATATTTTACCATCTCTTCATTTTTAAGATGCTCCCTTTTTGACTTTCCTATTTCTACAATTACAGGTCGTAGATTTATTTTCCACTTCTAGATTCCCTTCAACATACTCAATTTTGGGAGATATACAAGATATGTTGTGTGTGTGTGTGTGTGTGTGTGTTTTGTTTTCTCTGCCTCATTTTGTTCCACAATGGCAGAAGGTAAAACATGACCAGCATGCACCCAGAACCAAGTAGTATACCATGCTGGTTCATTCTGTGAGATTCCCCATTCCCATTCTGCCCCCCTCATTTATCTCATTTATGTTTTGGTGGTCAATGCTGGGGCCTTCTACAAGTATTTCTGGTTTATATAAATTTGGGACTGAGCATCTTTTAACATACAGAACTTAATATACTCAGAAACTAGAGGATAACCCTTTAGGACCCCTCAGGTAGACTACATTCTCCCTCCACTACAACTTCGTCACCACCACCATCTCCCAGTACCCCCAATTTTTTTCTTCTTTTTTTTCCTTTTTTTTCCCCTCTCTTCTTTAGGATTCCTGGCTTTTTATTTTTTACTACTTTGTTTTAAAATTTGTTTTTCATTTTAGTTGTCCTTTTGGTTTATTGCATTCTGATCTTTGTTTTCAATTTCTGGTTTCTGACCTCAGCAGAATCATGTAGGGTGAAATTTACCTAGGTCATGGTTGATATTCCTGATATAGCCTGTTCATACAGCCACTCTGCACTGAGAAAAATGACTAGAAAGAAGAACTCACCACAAAAGAAAGAATCAGAAACAGTACTCTGTGCCACAGAGTTAAAGAATTTGGATTACAATTCGATGTCAGAAAGCCAATTCAGAAGCACAATTATAAAGCTACTGGTGGCTTTAGGAAAAAAAGCATAAAGGAGTCAAGAGACTTCATGATTGCAGAATTTAGATCTAATCAGGCCAAAATTAAATATCAGTTAAATGAAATGCAATCCAAACTGGAGATCCTAACGACAAGGGTTAATGAGGTAGAAGAAAGAGTGAGTGACATAGAAGACAAGTTGATGGCAAGGGAGGAAGCTGAGGAAAAAAGAGAAAAACAAAAGACCGTGAGGAAAGGTTAAGAGAAACAAATGACAGCCTCAGGGGAACAATCTGTGTATAATTGGAGTTCCAGAAGGCACCAAGAGGGCCAGAGGGCCAGAAAGCATATTTGAACAAATCATTGCTGAGAACTTCCCTAATTTGGGGAGGGAAACAGGCATTCAGATCCAGGAGATAGAGAGGTCCCCCCCCCCCTCAAAATCAATAAAAACCATTCAACAGCTTGACATTTAATAGTGAAACTTGCAAGTTCCAAAGATAAAGAGAAAATCCTTAAAGCAGCAAGAGACAAGAGATCCCTAACCTTTATGGGGAGAATGATTAGATTAACAACAGACCTCTCCACAGAGACCTGGCAGGCCAGAAAGGGCTGGCAGGATATATTCAGGGTCCTAATTGAGAAGAACCTGCAGCCAAGAATACTTTATCTAGCAAGGCTCTCATTCAGAATAGAAGGATAGAATAGCTTCCAAGATAGGCAGAAACTGAAATAACATGTGACCACCGAACCAGCTCTGCAAGAAATATTAAGGAGGACCCTGTAATAGAAGGAGGATGCCCCAAGAAATAATCCACTAAAATAGGGACTGAATAGATGTTACAATGACACTAAATTCATATCTTTCAATAGTAACTCCGAATGTAAATGGGCTTAATGATCCCCCAAAAAGCAAGACCCATCAATTTGCTGTCTATAAGAGACTCATTTTAGACCTAAGGACACCTACAGCCTGAAAATGAAAGGTTGGAGAACTATTTATCATTCAGATGGTCCTCAAAAGAAGGCAAGAGTAGCAATCCTCATATCAGATAAATTAAAGTTTACCCCAAAGACTGTAGTAAGAGATGAAAAGGGACACTATATCATACTTAAAGGGTCTATCCAACAAGAAGTAACAATCATGAATATTTATGCCACTAATGTGGGAGCTGCCAAGTATATCAATCACTTAATAACCAAAGTTAAGACATACTTAAATAATAATACACTTATACTGGAAGACTTCAACATGGCACTTTCTGCAAATGACAGATATTCTAAGCACAACATCTCCAAAGAAACAAGAGCTTTAAATGATACACTGGACCAGATGGATTTCACAGATACTTACAGAACTTTACATCCAAACACAACTGAATACACATTCTTCTCAAGTGCATATGGAACTTTCTCCAGAATAGACCACATACTGGGTCACAAATCAGGTCTCAACTGATACCAAAAGATTGGTATTGTCCTCTGCATAATTTCAGACCATAATGCTTTGAAACTTGAACTCAGTCACAAGAAGAAATTTGGAAGAAACCCAAACACATGGAGGTTAAAGAGCATCCTGCTAAAAGATGAGAGGATCAACCAGGAAATTAGAGAAGAATTAAAAACATTCATGGAAACTAATGAAAATGAAGATACAACTGTTCAAAGACTTTGGGATACAGAAAAAGCAGTCCTAAGAGGGAAATACATTGCAATACAAACATCCCTCAAAAAATTGGAAAAAGCTCAAATACACAAGCTAACATTGCACCTAAAGGAACTGGAGAAAGAACAACAAAAACCTGTATCAAGCAGAAGAAGAGAGTTACTAAAGATTCAGAATTCAATGAAATAGAGACCCGAAGAACTGTAGAACAGATCAACCAGGAGTTGGTTCTTTGAAAGAATTAATAAGATAGATAAACCATTAGCCAGCCTTATTAAAAACAAAAGAGAAAAGATTCAAATTAAAATCACAAATGAAAGAGGAGAGATTACAACCAATACCAAAGAAACACAAATGATTTAAAACATATCATGGCAGCTATATGCCAATAGATTAGGCAACCTAGAAGAAATGGACGCCTTTCTAGAAAATCACAACTACCAAAACTGGAAAAGGAAGAAATAGAAAACCTGAGCAAGCCAATAACCAGGGAAGAAATTGAAGCAGCCATCAAAACCACCCAAGACACAAAAGTCCAGGGCCAGATGGCTTCCCAGGGGAATTCTATCAAACGTTTAAAAAAGAAACAATACCTATTCTACTAAAGCTGTTCTACGGAAGATAGAAAGGGACAGAATACTTCCAAACTCGTTTTATGAGGCCAGAATTACCTTAATTCCAAAACCAGACAAAGACCCCACCAAAAAGGAGAATTATAGACTAATATCCCAGATGAATACAGATGCAAACATTCTCAATAAGGTACTAGCCAATAGTATCCAACAGTACACTAAGAAGATTATTCACCATGACCAAGTGGGATTTATTCCCAGGATGCAAGTCTGGTTCAACACTCGTAAAACAATCAAAGTGATAGATCATATCAACAAGAGAAAAAACAACCATATGATCCTCTCAAGAGATGCAGAGAAAGCATTTGACAAAATACAGCATCCATTCCTGATCAAAACTCTTCAG